ATGCATGTGTGTCTAAACAATTTCAGAACTATGAAAAGGGATGTCATAATCATAGTCTCAATTGTTTAGACCTTTTGCCATCTGCTTCAAATCTACTTGGTGGAAGTGTTTCCTCACCATCATTTTCATGAATCGGAGAGAAACCTTATGGCCCTTAGATTTTATGGTGTATGTGTTCTTATCTATGTGAATCGTCAAAACCATAGTCACAAGACAAGGATAATGACAAATCCAAACTCATATGGACTGAACTTATGCAATCTTAACTTCTTGCCACCCGGCAGTATAGGGCCTGCCATTGCTTCCAAGTTGTTATGCAACCAATTGAGAACTTTCAGAACTCCTATGCAAAGCCAACTTTAACTGGAATGGGCACAGAATATGTCAACACGATAGGTTATAAACCTCAAGTCATGTGCTAGTGAAGAACCTCAGGTTTTATTCTTGATTAGTTCTTGAAATTCTTTTTAGGATCTTTAAGACTCCCACTATCCTCTTCACATATAAGACTATCTTGCCAAATATTCAAGAGATAGTGCGGATTCTTTATCAAGACAAACACTTCACACAATTGGCCTTAGTTGGTCTTTGTTTTATCCAAAACATCACAACTTACCAATTTCAAATGTACAAGAGTAGGACACTTTTACTCTTACATTTGACAAGTGTTTTAAACCTTTCTTTAAGATATGTCACTCAAGTTACAATCTTGGAGTATGACTCTAAGAATTGTTTTGGAACGAAGTATGACTCATCTTCCTGATCTAACCATTTCAATAATTCATGACTCCTCTTCTTAGTCATAAGAATGCACTAAGATGACCTTTAGAGGACTAATTGTGATATGATTTCTAAATCATTAAGATGATCACAAACATGATACTAAAGTACTCTCCCATTTTTCAGATTTGAGAAACTTTTATCTTTCTGCCTAATTTGATTCTTCTCATTCGTCCTGCCATACATTGAGACTTTTCCAATGTTTCAGAATTATACTTAAACTTGTAAGTATAATCATATTTACTAAACTTTAGTAAATCAAATAGTCTTAACGAGCTTTGTGGTGGACATGACCAGTGCACAAGAATGTGTACTCGATCCCTTTAGTCCTTCACTTGACTCACACATCCATGTGAACAAGTAATTAGTCTTGATTTTCCAATGCTTGAAAGTTCTCATTCATCATACTATTCAACTTGCATGATTCCAAGTTTCGGTCCAATTGAAACTTGGGCGATGAGGAACTTTCCTGATTTGGTAAATTTAGACACGACCACATATGAAAGAATCAAATCCATTTTCCAATATTGCTGTCCGTGGAATCATATAAGCAACAATTTTCCACAAATGTCATTGTAAGGATACTTCAAATAAATAAAATTAAACAATTTTCTTTTATTTTAAAACTTTGCGGAAAAATTTATCCTTACAATCCGCATGGAGAATTGTTGTTATCTATTCCTTAGCAATATATCATAACTTCTTAAGCAACTGCTCAAAATTCTGATGCGATCGAAATCCACCTTCGCGATCAGAATCAGCATATACTTCCTTTAAGATTTCTCTCTATTCTTTGATTCTTAAAACATCAACATGTGACCCAGTCACATCATGTAATGAGGATCTCAGAATAGAACTTAACAGAGTTAGATAATGGGCTCTACCTGATGTAGAGTCAAACTTATTGACTTTAACATCCTTAGGTAAATTTGGCAGCTTTGCAATCAACGCCCCTTCCTTTGGCAAAATAAACATATGGACCCTTTGGTAATGGGACTATCTCAAACTTAGACTTTCTCTTTACCATTTGGTCAACCGGGTTGACTATGGCCAATCCCTTTCCATTGGGAAGAAAAATGTTTTTTTTGGATTTCCAGTGTCACCATTGTCACTGTCCATAAAGTTTTTGGGAAGTTGATCTTCTAATCAAATTTGCTTTACTATCGTTCCAAATCATTGCTGATTCAGCAGCACCAAGCAAATAGATATGATTATTAAGGTTCATGTCATAGTCTGTTTCATAGTAGTCCCAAAGGAACTCACTATGTGACTTAGAAAGTGATTGAACATCCAACTTTCTCAAGACTTTGACACCCAACTCTCCCGGCTTGTCAATATGTGACTTCATCTCTAAGATGTGATCACACATAGACCTTTCTTGCCATTAGGGCTTGAGTGACCTTGAACTTGTGGGTTAGGGAGAATAATTGGAGGAGGTGGAGGAAGAGAAGTATGACTTCCATGAGCCAAACTCGGGAAGTCATATTCATTAGGAAAGCTTGGTTTGGGAAGATCATTGTTGTCTAAACCAGACATCAACAATGGGAGAAATTCACGTAAAGTTGATTTAAGTCCTTAATATAACACCCAATATGATATATTAAGGCTAGGACCCAACAAACTATTTTATAACTTGGAAGTGGGATGCCGTAATCCAAGCTATAAAATATTTGAAGGTAGGTGAATGACGATTCACCAATTTCCACCAAGATAAACGAAATGTATTATTAGGTTTTACTTGGTTTTGAAACTCCTAGATTCTTTTGAGATTCATTGAACTTTTCATGGCATGTTTCAATCTCGAGTGTGCCCTTCAGGTTTTGTGACTGGGATGTCGAGGATCACAAAACAAGGTGTGTAGTAACCATGCAAATATACTTGGTACCCTTAATATTTACCCCTCAATCGATGTGCCGGTTAACCACACACGCTCCAACGATACTATGATAAACATTAAGTTACCCTTTGCCTACCTTGTTAAGTCCAGGTTAGTGTGTCGGTTAACCACACACGCTCCACTAACAGCTTAAACAAAGTGAAAAGTGTAATTTCATGGATTAGCACCTTATTCACATTTTCCTAAGTAACTAAGATTGGGAATTTATAAGTGTTTAGTTACTTAGTATTTATCATTATACTTATAATGAAGGGAGAATTATAGTCATTGTCCTACCTGTTCGGCTAACGACCCTCCACCGGTCAAGGAAGCGGTGAGTGAGAGTGGACACCCATTAAACTGTCATTTTATAGGTAGTAACCTTATACCTCCCTTATAGACCGGCTTCGTGAACGAGGCCTACTAATGGTAAAACGACTTGCTCTTATACATATAATATATTAAACTTTTAATATTATAATAGTATAAGGGTGTATTTTAGACATTTAAAATACTTGGTGGTTTAATCTATTAATTAAACTAGACTTTTAATTTAATGAAACTCAAACCATATATTTATGGATTAATAATACTCTTTTAATTAAACGCTTTAATTAACTATTAATAAAGTCCATAAGAGTTAATTTGAACTATTCAACAAAACATCATAATTCCAATTATTAAACTCAAAATTAAAACCATTTAATTAATTGTTTAAGTTATGAACCCAAGAGTTTTAGAATTCAATTCTTTTTTTCATAAAAAACTTTTCTCAAATTCCAAAACTTGAGGGCAAGTTTTGTAATTCTTGAAAACCTTTGGATTCCATAACTTATGGAATTAATGGTGTTTTATGATGAAACTTTCCATGTTCCATAACTTAAGAACAAGTTATGGAATTTTTAAAACATTAACACCAAATTTTGTAACTCCATAAAAACTTTGAATCAAATTTTTTTTTTTTTAAAAAAAACTTTCATATCCATAACTTATGGAAGTTTCAAAAACCCTTAAGATCACAACTTTAAAAAAAAAATTGAGCTCCAAAATTTTATGACAAAATATGTAACTCCTTAAAACATTTAGATCAAACTTTTAAAACTAATAAAATAATCATATCATTTTATCTTTTACTAAATTTGACCTAATTCAACTCATATAACAAATGATTCAAATTTTACAAATAATTCGTTTTTCACAAAACAAGTCATTATCTTAAAATTTGACAAACGTCATGTTTTTTTTTCCTTTTTTTCCAACTTGAAAATAAAACATTTGCATCAATATAACAGAAAACAACCCATGTCTCTGATACCACTGTTGGGTTTTGAGCATTCTAACACTCCTATGGTGTACATGGAACCCTATAAACCTTGGATCTATGTTTTCTCTATTATACATGCAAATATTAACTATTCCAAGGTTTCATCCTAACTAGCATATTATGAAGCACCTATACTACAAAGTTCTAGTTAGATGACATACCTTTTGATGTAGCTTGATGTCTTCAAGCTTTAAGAGCTTAGCCCCAATAGTGTGGAAGCCTCAAATGGAATCACAAATCACCAAAACACCTTGGAAGAACTTGAGAGAATATGTATGCACACTAAAATCGGCTCACTCTTATTTTCACACACTTGTCCAATTTTATGAGCCAAGGACCCCTTTATATATTATGGAGGATTAGGGTTACATCCATGTAAACCCTAATACCCATGACCTTTCATTTACATAGGATCCATGGGTTAAAAGCTTCATGGACCATCCATGAAAGCTTAGCCCAACCTAAATGAACTTGGCCCATTCCATATATATAAGAGTCCATATTTAATTAGTTCTTTTTGATCACTTAATTAATTCTAAATTAATTCTTGATCAATACTAATTAAATAATATGATTTCATATTAATATATTAGAACTTATAATATATTAATATAAATCATAAATATACTATTCTCAAAAGATTATCCATATAAATTGTGCCGGTGAAGTGCAACCCAAATGGACCATGCCGGATCGGGTCAAATACATACCAAATATAGTTATGGACTTAGACATTAATCCAACAATTTTTACCTCAAGATGTACCCTATCCTTTCTATGGTTTACTGTAAAAAAAAAAAAAAAGGGGGAGGAGTAGAACTGACCAAAACGCAAATACACAAAAAAAATGAAAAGCCAGTGCCCTATAGCATGCGATACACAAAACGCCAAAATGCACAAGTCTAGTACAAAATGAAATTACAATTTACAACTAATAAGCCTACAAATCTGATATAAAGATTACAAGAATGGTCAATATATGTTTGTTTTCACCCCACAACGGTACAAAATAGAAAGAAGATGGGGCCCATCTACATACGGTACCACAGAAAAAAAAACGTGACAAGTCGTTTGGAGAAGACAAAAAAAACAATGTGCGTGCCCCACCTCGTTAATCTCTACCCGCCGTACCTCCTGACCATCTTCAACTGGCGAGTGTTTTCTCCAAAGCCTATCCCGCCACTGGTAACCCAAGACCATCGACGACGACCTCCAAGCTTCAACAGATTGAAGATGAAAGAAGTATCTGCTCCAATCTCCGACCTCAGTTCGTCAATGGAAATCAAAACCACAGCATCACTGGCCATCCCGGTCACCACCGGCCAGTTTCAATCGACGACCCACCATTAACAACAGCTTCAACTTCGACTATCATCATCTCCACCGATAATCACCTGCAACTTGCCCGCCTGCAACACAAGTGACCTAAAATCAAAACCACAGCAACACTGGACCATCAATGACCCAGACGACCACCTCCATCTAACCCCGCGTCGCCGACAAGCTCACAGCAACAACCACTAACCTCCAAGTCTTCAATCGCCGCCATCAATGATCGCTACCATCGGACTACCACCTGCAATCGTCAATTGCTTTCAATGGCAACCCAACAACCCTCCAGAATTGAAGAATTGGCGTCTTGATTCTACTCCACAGCCAGCAACAACATCGCCCCGACTTCGCCTCCAGTCGTCGACTGTTTCAACGGGCAGACCAACAGATCCAGTGCCGCTCGTGAACTTGCAGCTCCGGTCCTCCCCTTCCGCAACAGATATCCCCGACAAAGAACCCAAAAAAGGAGAAGAAGATGAATCGTCCAGTCGACTCTTCCCTCTTCTATTGGCGTCTTCATGAAGTTGTAACTTGTGAACCAATGCAAACCCTATAACCCAAAACTAATTAAGAAGCTAGTAGGCATCTACTGTCCGTTTCACATGAAATAGATCTTGGGCTGGCAATTTGGTATTTGGGCTTATTCACAAATGGGCTAAACAACTTTATTTTAGTCTCATAAATGGATCAATCTTACAAAAAAAAATATAAAATAAAATGATAAAGGAATTTGGGCTACATTATTTGCGAGACCCGATAAAACAAAAATGATTTTGGGCTGTAACACATTTGGGGCTCCTCATACGACATATACACATCCGATGCGACTCGTCCTTCTTCTTCACAAATAGAATCGGGGCTCCCCAAGGTGAACTGCTAGGTCTGATGAATCCCTTGTCTAACAGCTCCTGCAGCTGTGTAGACAACTCCCGCATCTCGGGAAGAGCCGACCGATATGGTGTCTTGGCTATCGGAGCCGCACCAAGGACCAGGTCGATCCTGAACTCTACATGCCTCTCCGGAGGTATCCCAAGCAGCTCCTCCTGGAAATATATCCGCATACTATCGTACCACTGACACATCACTCACCGTTGCATGTCCCGCCTCTCGGGTATCCAAAACATAGGCAACATACCCTGTGCAACCCTGCTGGAGGTAGCGCATGGCCCTCGCTGCTGAACATAAAGTTGGTCCACGTTGTGGCCTCTCGCCCTGAATCACCAACTCTCCCCTGCCTGGGGTCCTGATCCGAACCAACTGCTGCGCACAGTCGATCACTGCCCCATTGGGGCTCAACCAATCCATCCCTATGATAACCTTGTTCCCCCGCAAGGGTATGGGAACCAAATCTACCAAGTAGCGCTCCTCGTATAACCTCTGACGATCGCACTGATCGGCCGTCCGCAATCTCGACCTCTAGAGGGCAATCCAACATGCCCGACGAGTCAGGGAACCTCTTGCTAAGCGCAAGGGAGACAAATGACCAGGTAGCACCCGAATCAAACAACACCTGAACTGGGATACCGTTCACATGGAACGATCCTAAACAGAACGTATAACATAATACATCAATACCACAAGCGACATAGAATAAAAGTTAGGGAGAAAAAACCATACCCGTCACCACATCGGATGTTGTGCGTGCCTTCTCGGCTGTCAACTGAAACGCTCGGCTCCTCACCACTGGAGCCTCTGACTTGACCTTCCGGCCATCCGTAACCCGTGCAGTCGCTGGAGTTGGCGCCACTGCTGCTGATGTTGTCAATCTAGGGCAGTTGGCCCTTTTATGGCTCCTATGATTGCAATGGAAGGAAATCAGATCTGAAGTCTGAACAGTGGGGGCAGGAGCAGTACAATCCCTGCCAAAGTGCCCCGTCTTGCCGCACTTGCAGTAGACTGATGATCCCGCTCTACAAGCTCCCTCATGTGGCCTGCCGCATTTCCTGTAGCGGCTCTGGCCTGGATGGCCCTTTGACCTCGTGTCGGATCCCTTGGGTTTCTTCCCCGAAACCCCAATACTCTGCTCTATCTCTGCCTTCCTCTTCCTGAGGTTCTCTAAGTCAATCTCTCTCTCCCTCGCCCTGGCAATCATGGACTCTAGGGTCGGACAGGCTGAGAAGCTGACATGCTCCCAGATATCAGCCCTCAACATGTCGTGATAGCGGGTCCTCCGCGTATCCTCATCTCCTGCATATTGAGGTACCAACAAGGCCCTCTCTCTGAACTTGGCGGTGATCTCCGCCACTGACTCCGTAGTCTGTCTCATATCAAGGAACTCCCTGGCCAGCTGAAGAAGCTCCACAGTTGGCGCAAACTCGGTCCTAAAGCTGGTCACAAAGTCTGACCAAGTGATAACCTCGATGGTTGGGGCTCCCAGCGAGTCACCGACTGACTCCCACCAATCCCTAGCTCTATCCCTCAAACAACCTGCAGCAAAGCGGACCTTCGACCTCTTCGGGCAGAAGCTCGTCAACTGCGCAGACTCGATGTCTGCGATCCATCTCCTGGCAATAATGTGGTCCTTCGCCCCGTAAAACTCTGGCGCGCCACTCCCCCGGAAGTCCTTGAAGGACAGTGTGCGTGTACCCGACTGGCTGGAAGCCAAGTCACTCCTGAATGCTCGAAGGCGATCCTACATCAGCTCAACAATCCCCTCCTTGATCGACCCGAAAATAATCGAGGTCGCCTCAAGAATACCTCGCGTGATCTCATACGCGATGAACTCGCGTAGCCCATCATCAACCTGCTCGAATCCCATACCCGAGCCTGATCCTCATCCTGACCCAGATCCTGCTCCATGTCGCGTAATAGCCATACTGAAAACACAAAGAGGTCAGAGTCATACATACTCTCCAGAGGTCTTACACATTCTCCAAGTTTCCTGGTTCTTTCTCAGCCCTCCTTGATTTGAGTACGGATCCTCTGCTTCCAGTAGTACATGCCCAAACTACCTTCCACATCTATCCGTACTTTCCTCAAGAATTGCCTCGACTTCACCAAGTCCCTTTTTACTAATACAACTTTCCAACTAATTTCATCCTAGGCTTGTCCTATGGCACTCTCCGACCTACTCACCGCCATCAGCTACACAAGGAGTCCCTACCATCTTTCCCTAACTAGCTTACGGATACTATTACATATCCGCTTACTAGTTAGTTAAAGCTAGCCGGAACCCCTATCAGCACAAAGCAAGCAGCATTCGTGCATTGAGTAACCATTACCAAGCATAACCTAATCAGGCTATCGTACTGCTGTCTAACCAGCCCTAACATATAGCTCAATAAACTCATACAACAGGCATATAAGGCATCCTTCCTAGATCCTTAGCCCTAATCTAGCATGCACTTCTCATAATCACATAACAGGCATACAAGGAATCCTCCCTAGATCCTTAGCCCTAGTCTAGCCTGTAGTTCTCACAATCACATCATATAACATAATCTAACATGTATGGGTATCTTGGGGAAAACTTACATGAGTTCGGTCAGTCGCACGCAGCACACACCTTCTTCTTTCTCACAACTCCTTATTTTAAATTTTAGAAAACTATTTTTCTTGTAAAAACCCTTCAAGACCTCGATTTGAGTTCAGGCACCCCCGAAGGTGTGCCCGAATCCCTCAAACTAAGGCTCTGATACCAACTTGTAACATCCCAAAATCGAGACCCAAATTTTTTTTGTTTTAAAGTATATTACTTGTAAAAATAGTTTACGGAAAACATAGTTGTTATCATTTCAAACATCAAGTCACAAATAACAAGTCTCAAAAACCATATCATCAAATAGTAAAATGTCAGCGTACAATCCCAGTGTTCTCAAAGTGGAAGTCGTGTGTGTGCAATGTGTGCTACCCTGTCGGCTCCTTCCCCTTAGCTGACGAGGTACCTGAAACCAAAACTAAAAACTGTAAGCACGAAGCTTAGTGAGTTCCCCCATCATACCACATACCATACAATCATACATATTGTCGGGCAATTCTTGGGTGCCCGACCTACCCATGTCAAGCCATTTTGGGGTGCTGACTACCCGTGTCAATCCATTCTGGGGTGCTGACTACCCGTGTCAGGCCATTCTGGGGTGCCTGCCTACCCTCCGGTCTATTTCACCCGGTCATGGGGACTATTTCACCCCTGCTACTATCACATAATAACATATCATAAACATGTTGTCATACATATCTGGGGTGTCCGGCCTATCCTTCGGTCCTAACAACCAATCGGGTGACTATTCCCCTCCTACTACCACTATCACATAGAACATAACATACTCGCACATAGACACATCAAGTAATAGAAAACCAGACAATTATCACAAAGACAATCATCTTAACTGTAATCAACTACTAGTGGGTCGGCCTTGGTGCCTTAGACCCACTTCTACTGGAAGGTAACTCACCTCGATGTCGTGTAGTGTCTGTACTATCCTCAATGTGAAAATCGACTCTCCCCGACTCCTTAATCCCTACACGACAGCTTTTCTAAGTTATCAACTCATACTCATAACCCTTACAAGGGTCACCCAAATCCAAGTCAAATTCAAGGTCAACACCTTGGTTAATGGTCAATCATCTGGTCAAAGTCATCATCTGGTTGACTCGACTCGCCGAGTCCCCACATGCACAAAATGCTATAATCCCGTCCCTACTCATCGAGTCTAGCAAGGGCTCGATGAGTTCGCCTTCAACAACACCTCATACTATCTTCAATCGACTCTGTTGAATCATATAACTGACCCTCTTAAACTTGGTCTACCGCAGCCTTCCAAGATCCGCAGTCAACTCTGTTCAGCAACCCCATCCGAAGTCATCATCATCCGCAGTTCACTATCTAGCTTTCTTAGTTTAGCTCTTTATCTACTTTTCTTAGAATACTCTCTTTTGTCCAGTATGCCTTGCATGGCTACGCTTAGATAGTTGAACAAATGTAATATTTGAGTCTCTATATATAGAGCTCAATCCTTCTTATTCAAATACCTCTGATAACACTTCGCATCTTGAATCTCATATCTTGGTGTTATTACTCTCATCACCTTCTTACTCTCAAAGTTCACTTAAATATAAAAGATTATTATATCCCTTCGGAGCAAGTCATTCTTGACTTAATCACTAAGTTTGATCTCACTTACTAACTTGGTCTGAATGCATTCCTTGTTAAGAATCAACTTATGTGTATACTTGATATAATATCTGCTGTCATTTATATTTCCTTACATTTCCGCACCTAACTCTCTAATTATCTAACTCTAACTTATTATTATTGTTGAGCTTTTAGATCCTTTGAGATAAACTATTCCGCAACTATACTTGTTCTAACGTTTGTTCAAGTGTGTCTCGAGTTTTTCTCTCAACAGTTGGTATCAGAGCCAAAGTGGTTGCCTTTTGAAGCAAAACTCTGTGTTTCAAAAAGCCTTCTATACCACTAAAGCTCATTTCTTCATAAAATAAACAAAAAAAAACTTTTCAAAACAAGGAAATATGGCACAAGCATTATCTCTTAATGTATCAAACAGTGTTGGTGGTTCGAA